GGAAAGCAGTACAGAAGTGTCTTGTCCTTTGATAGCAATAGATAACTAACCTCATTTTGTAAGAGTAGAACTAAACAGGGTTATTCTTTGTCTTCAACAGAAGCAGTGAATCAGACCTCATTGCCTTGTACTGAACTCATTTTAAGGCAATTCAATGCCTTACACATGATCATTAAGACTTCTAGTTGTACGTTTGTTTCTGCTCCTGCTCTTTACCTGGCATTTCTTCATGCAACCAGGTACCAGGAGGCTTCATATTTAGAAGAAACAGGCCTTGTCATATTTTCTGAAGCTTTATTTTCAGGCCTTCTGCATCCCTTATATTCATGTCAAATATTTGTCTTTCTGTAGCAGCAAGGATTAAAGATGTAACTGATTATAAAGCAGACATTTTCAACTCTCCTTAGCCACATAACCTGGGGCTTTAGATGAACACTTCCCTGCCTCAGCCTTTACCTAGCCAGTGTCAACCAATTAAAAAAAATAGCCAACAATAACCTTATTTATCAAAGCTTTTTTTCTTTCATTTTAGGTTTTGCTAGATACTTACTGACAGACTAAATCAAAACCAAATGACAGAACTTCAGATGTAGTGAGGTATTTGACTACAATGCCATAAATACTGTGATCTCTCTGTACCTCTGTTTAGACTGAGCTGCCAGTGAGGAGGTAGACATTACACAAATTAACTCAGTCACTTTCCTCTCCTGTGATGACTCCTATGATCTGAAGGAGGAAGATGAAGACTTGGTGCAAACCACAGAAATCACTTTGTGGGATTTTGTTTAAATGATCTGCATGACAAAAATCAATGTCTTTGTGCACAGTAGGTATGGCAAATCAAAGTAATTTAGGACAAAATGCCTATGTTGTATTGACAGATGGAAAGTGAACAATCTGTACAAAACTGTGTTTCTCTGGCAAAAATAAACTGAAATATTACATAAGAAACATTATGAAAATTTAAACAAACAAAAGCTTCAGTATTATAATCCCCCACACCATTTTTCTAATTAAATGAGAAGTACTTGACACTTTCATGCAACAATAAGATGACCATGGAAACCACAATCTTACCTCTCCACACATTCACACCTGTGTTACTCTGGCCCACTGACTTCAGTGGAACAATGTCTTATTTAAAGTAAAGTAAAGCAAAAGGAGAAACAGACTTGAAGACTGATAATATTTTGATGAAACATAATCCTCAACATGAGATGCAAAAGGTGACTTTCCTGACAAGTCCTACACAAATTCTTAATAGTTTTCTGTATGTAACCTCATCTCATTTCATCCTGACATAATCTTAATTAGTCTTAGTTCGACTGCAGAGAAGCCTACTGAGGCAGTTAGCACCATATAATTAATCAGATATTTTGCATGCATCACAGCAACCAACAGTGTCAACTTACTGATGTGAGTTAATACAAACAGAAATCAACCCTGCCTTTCCCTTTCACATGAACTAGAAGCATGTGGCATAGAATGAACATATGACTATTTCTTCTACACACTGCTTAACATCCTTTCTTCCCTTAGCAGCCATTCCTAAGCATCATTACTCTCTGCAAAGTATAATTCTTTTTTTTCTGCTGATACTAAGAGAGAACATGCAATTTGGTATTTCTTTTAAATTTCTGTTTCTTCATAGAAGAGTAAGTCCAGCAACTGAAATAAGCAATGCTAAGACAAAATTCTTGCTGATGAAATTCATGAACTCTTTTTTTTTTTTCTGTGTGCTTTAGCATTTTCTAAGAAACAATTTTGCACCTGCACATTTGAGAGCACAATCTGCAACATTCAGTCATCTCATAGCAACAGAAAATAAAATATTCTTTTATACTTAAGAATATAAACACATACGATGTACACACTAATTCACTGGATTAAAAGCTTCACCACCTATCTATATAATTGTATAGCTTAAATTTATCCTATTGTTTGAGATTTATCTTTTGTCTTCTTTGCAGGAGCCAGATATCACAGTATTGTGCTTAACGTCACCGACAGGGAAACCATGTGATTATATGATTTGATGGCAAAGAACAAAAAGACCACTGCTTCAAGAGAACAATTTTATAGAGCTCCATTCTCCTAAACTTAAACTGGAGTAGTTGAATAAAACCACTGGAAGGTTTATTCAGTTTTGGATGGCAACTGTAATATGCTGTGGTGTTTATTAATAGTAAATGCAATGTTTAATATATGTCAGTGTTTCACTTCAGCAGAACACTGTAAAACTACTTGCAAGAACAATTTAGTCCATAACTAATATTCCAAGTATGAAAGAGTAGTCTAGTATTTAGTGATTTCTCAGATTCTCAGTGAGATAATAATCTTCTTAGAAAGGCAGTATTTAAATGATAGTTTATTTCAGGAACTGACAGTAAACTGCTTAACACCTTCTCTCTACGGTGTTTGTGCCTGAAATCAGTTAAGTATCTAAGACAGGATTTATTAAAAGTTGTGACAGCTTTAGTGTTTTCATTTCCAATGGTATCTCAGCACAGGAACACATATAGTCTATTCACCACCTGACACAATGTGTCATCCACTAAATTTTTGTCCAAAGTCTTGGGCTGGTGTTTTCTTTTTGAATTTCAAGGCCTGTCACAAGAAGTTAGGGATCTTACTGGAATTGCCCAGTGTTTCAGGTGCTGTCATCCATGATTACCACTCCCCAAACAAAGAAATCTAATGTCCATTTCTTAGTATCTAATTGCTCTGCCTCTCCCTCCTATACAAATCTTCTTAATTTATTATAATACTGGAAGAATTATAACTCTGATAGGATTGCTACGAAGGTTTTATTAATCAAACTAAAGCAGCAGCAACTGAAGATAATCAACTGTTCATTTTAGTTCCTGTTTCAGCAGGTGGAAAATATGTTACCAAACAGCAGCAAGAAGGATATATATATAGGAAGGACATATAAGATGTGGTAAGTTTATCCAAGACAACTCAGAGCCAATCATTAAGCTACCTATATGTACTGATGCCTTTTCCATCCTAAAGACACAGCTGTCCTTTATCTTCTAGCCCTGATTTACATTTTATAATCCTACAGTCACCTTCACTCTCATCTGATTCAGATTTGGCACTCTGACACTTTGCTGGAACGTCTGACATAACACAGGGCCAGCACAACACGCACACAAGCCACAGTACGTTCACAATGTGATTTCAACTAGTAATTGTAAGATTATGAGGAGCATGTGAATGGGAAAACAAGACAAGAGGCAGATGGCAATAGAAGAAAAGTCAGATTCCCGGAGCTAATTCTACCAGCAAGAGCTGTGTTTTAACCTGTAATTAAAATCTTAGTATGAACAAGACAAAGCGAGGCCTAGAGACAGCCTAAACTGTTCCAAAGGAATTAGTCATCATAACAAGCTCATGATTAGACCTAAAGGTTGCACATACTGAGAATTGTCAAAAAATGCAAGTTTGAGGCTGCAAGTCTCCCCCATCATGACTCCTGCTACTATCTCAGTTAATCTGATAGTCATGTCACCTAGACAAGTTCTAGTGAAACTCCCACTGTTTTGGACGATTTTTCCAGTCTGAACTGCCAAATTTCATATTAGGCATGATTTTGGATGACTGATGAAACTCTTTCCAAAGCAAACTTCATAAGCCTTAATCATAACACGTTTCATCAGTCCTGGAACAAATGACATCTTACTTTATCAAATGCTGTGAGTTTACTGCATTTGGCCACATCAAGGCTTTCTTACTCAGACAAACAGCTTATTCACAAGAGCTTTCCTTTAAAAGTAGACTCAACCAGAAATATGGATGTATTGGTTTAACAAGATTTTAAATCTAATGGCATTCTTACTACTTTCATACTTTCCTACTTGTCCTCCTATTAGTGTTTTTCAACACTAGAAATATTTAACACCTCCAGATCACTCAGAAAATTCTGAACTCATAGCATTTACCTAAAATCAGACTGAAAATTACTTTCTTGCAACATATGATATGTTCTTAGTTGGGTGATGCTACTAATCTTCAGTGTGAAAAGCATACCCACTGAAGACTTGATCCTTGACAATATACAGTAGCCTAAGGGATTGGAATTTTGTCATGGGAGCCAGGAACAGAATCTAAGCTTCTTTGGCTCTATCCAGATCCCTCTGATCCAAAAAAAGTATTGGAGTTGCAAATCATAAAGCTGGTGAGAAGGGCAGTGGCACATCTATTTGATAAAAAAATGCCATCCAGGTGAAATATGTAATAGAGCAAATTTTGGACACGCAGAGCAGGTGGTGACAGCTGCTCCACAGAAATATACAAGATACCTCACAGAAAATGGTTTCTGAGGTGTCGATCTCTTTTTTGAGAGTATTTGCCACCTTTCATGTTTCTTAGTAGTTAACAATTGGCTTGTGTGAAAACACTGGTTTTAATATGTTTCCATTTAGTAAAACATAACCCTGGTCATTCTTGTCATGTGTCTAAATGTGTCTCTGGATATCCTTGCGACATATCTAGAGCACCTTTTCCAGTTGAGTCCTAAAGCATCTTAAGCACTATATTCTTAGACCATTATTGATGCCCAGACATCTCTGGAGCATATCTTAGCCTGGATTGCCTTTGTCCAGTGACAGGAGAAATACGCATTTATGCAAAGTCATGTGGGATTTGCAATGTCACACACAGTGAAAGGTCTTGCTTACTTCAGAGTGCTAACTTTATTTTGCAAGGACTCAAAAACCCTGGCAAGTGTTGAGTCTGCGGTTCCATGGAAAGGAATGCCAAATTGAATGCTTCCACTATTAATACTATCCTCCAGACTCTTTACAAATCATCAGTAATAAGAAGATGCCTTTTTTTCATTCATCCATTCATTTCAGTTTCTTCAGAACTTGTTTTCTAGGACCATCAGAATGTCCTACCTACATCCAGAAGAAAAGTGGGATGGGCTGCACATACTGATTCGGGTAACACAGTGCAAGCTATGAAATAGAAAAATCAGTTAAAATGATGGCGCTTACCCCGTTCTGTGTCATAGAGATACACAAACTTTTCCCACTTATAATGAGTCAAGAGACTCAAGATGGCTCCTTTTAATGCTGGTCGCATCTGGATGACAAACTGCACATCTGCATCTGTTGGGAAGCTGGGTGTGACGAAGGATGTGTGAAGGGCTCCACAAAATGACGTCAGTGTGTTCATTGACATCTGGTCATAGAATCCAAAGATGGCATAAACTCCTCTGGAAAACTGTGAACAGACTAAGAAAGACAGACAAGGGTGTTAAAATCTGAAATATAACGAATGCAAACAAACTTTCAAAGTATATTTGAAGTAAGCCTTCTAACCACTTCTGTAAGTATTCTGTATGATGCAGCAGATGGAATGAATTAATGAGATAATATATACTAACTTCAGTGTAGCAGTAAGTTGTACCAAGTTTGTCACAAATAAACTGGCCTGAACACATTTTTGATTGTGATTTGTCCTGCTATATTGTTATAATCCACTCATCTCTCCATATTTTTTAAAAACAAACATGGGAATACTTTGCCTGTCTGTAAAATACCTTCCCCCTCCTTGAGCAGCATCTTGAAAGCTCTGTTAGCTGCTATGTAACAAATATCAGGTCTGCCTAAAAGTCAAAATGTTAAACATGTAGTTTTGTTTGGTATCCAACCTTGATTCAGATCTGATTCAAAGAAATCTGTATGTTTCATTCTTTTATAGTCCAGAACTCTGAAATCTGTGTGTGACCTTTTTCAGTGAGAAACTGTGGTGACTTCTTAACTGCGTGTTAAAATCTTTCAGAAGGAATTTGGAAAGTTTGTAGCTTATTATATGATGACACAAATGAGGAACATACATTGTGGCTTCATGGGACAAAAACCGATATCCCTTAATCTGGAGGTTTCTAGTCATTAACCATTCTGTTCTGAGAACTCATCTTGTACCAGAAAATAATAAAAATGCAGACAAAGGTGGTTTTTTTTTTCACAGGTAATTATCTGCAGAAACACTTCATTATTTCCCATGTTTTACAGAGATTGAATAATGACCATTTTGGACAAAAATGAAAGTATTTCAATTTATAAACATGGTCAACTTCATGGGAGTTGCAGGGAAAAGAATTTCTTTGTTGTTCATCTCTATAGGAAAAGTGCAAACTTCTTGTGACCCTGGGCTCTTTCCATGGAGGGAGACTGCATCAGTTAGCAAGGGAGCCTGATCAGTGAGGTGCTGGCTCTCTGGCTCATAACAAAGACTGTACAAGTGCAATGCACTACAGCACAGCAGCATTTCTAATCAGACCATTTCTGGACTGAGATGAACAAGTCCTACTTGTAATGAAAATAAGTTTCCCAGAAAAATGTTCATTCAGCATTAACAATTTCACTTGTCAAGAACTGAATTTAACAGCAATTTTCAACTAGCCCCATTAAATGCTTTTGCCAAAATGCTGCATATTTAACTTTGCAAAAAGCAAGGGGAAGCAATTACCAGAAAGGAAGACATGACTTCTACACAGAAATATACAGCATCGTTACTTCCAAAAGTACCATCATGAAACATTTCCCATCTTAAATGTTACCATCCAGAACCACTAAAGACTGCTAAAGTAATTTTAAAAAGGATTCTCCACAATATCAGCTCATTGACACAGCATCATGGATAACACCTCAAATCAGTAGTCAGGTGTGAAAACATGACTTTTTTCCCTGGAGATCCAGATGCAAAAATAGAAATGCTGTTAAGGAATTTTCTTAAGTGTTTAAGCCACTGTAACAGGACATGATCAGCTGTGGATATTAGTAGCAAATAACAGCAGGTGCAGACAGCAAAGAGAAACACAGGTGACATGGAAAGGGAGTAAGAAGTGGTGATTTCTGAAAGAAAAGTTTGCAGAAGTTCTCAACAACAGTAAAGACATAAAAGAAGTTATACTACAGTAAGAATTTATTCCCAGAGGAATGACTGAGGAATTAAATACACTGTTTAAAAAGGCATTTTGTTAAACTATATACCAGCAGGATATAAAGTAGAAAAGCTACCATAAAAGTTATCTGCTGAAGTTACAAATAAAAGACATTAACTTCCAGGTGGAAAAAGGGAAAAATAAAGATTACATTAGAAAGTCTGGCAGTCTCTAAATCATTTCAGTGGTGTGTAAACCCTCTAATTCCACAGGAACAATCAGTGAAGTGGGACTAGCAGAGCTAGGTGTCATCACATACACTGAGCCCATACCTCACAGATCAGGATTCTTTTACATATTTATTAATGGCCTAGTTTACTAGTTTTTAATGTAGATTCTGTACTGCAAAGGAAAACAAATATTCAGCAAAACATCCCTTCTTGCAATGCAAACAAAACATACTCTCAGAGGTTTCCTGATCCTAAAAACCCAGAGAATCCAAAGAATCTTGAGTTCACCCATTATTTCTTATCAGGCATAAGGTCTAAGACTCAGGAATACTTTTGAGCTGTGACTCAACTGAAATCTCTCAGATTTATATGGACACTGCATCTGAAAAAAGCTGGGAGCCCAGAAAGCCCATCATGTTACCCAAATGCAGGACTCTAATGGAGACTACAGATTACCTCTGACTAGGACTGTGAGTCCCTACATCCCATAGAGTTAGTAGAGAGAAGAGGTGCAGCACTAAAGGTAACTGACAGTGGCTGGCTCCAGCATGGACCAGTTCCTCTGCACCGTGCTGAGAACCAGCTGAGAACCAGCTGAGAAGTGGACAGGTTTGTGCTCTTTCTGGATCTTAGAGACATGGCACACAGGCACTGGGGCCAACAGTTTGAAAATGTTTCCCGGTCTTTGTCCTTTGGACATAATGCTGTCTTGAATAGCTATTTGAAAACACTGAATTGAAGTGTATTTTCATAGCAGATTGTGCTTGCTTATGCAAAGAGCCCACTCTCAGTTTGTGAGCAATTTGAGAAAAAACCCCAACAGTCTGTGAACAACCTGACCACATGACCTTTTCCAAATAATACCTTATAGCCAGCATGGAGCTGCTGCTTGCAGGGAGGTGAGAGCTTCTGATTTGGCCTTTCAGATCTTTGCAACTATTTTTCCTAAAAATTCTGGAGGATCACCAACAATATCTTCTGACAAATGCAACTCCCTGCCCAGTTTTATTTCCCCTGATTCAAGCTTGCATTCACTGCAGATTTGAAAGATTCAAGCCTTTTATAGACTGTCTTCTATTATATGTAAAAATCATCTGTTAAGGTCCCCTGCTCATTCTTGTCTTAGTCTGCATGCACTGTAGGGTGCCAATCTAATTTTACTGACCCATTTAAAAGGCAAATAAACCCTTGTTTTTATAAGGAAAAGCTAAAAGGGCAATTATCTTGGTCCCCAAAGTTCATTTGCATTTTTGAACTCATGGTTTTGTTACAACTTTTTAGCACCAGGTCTTTCGTATAGTTTGTGACCTAATCTCCTATGTGATCAGATGAACTTACTGAATATCCATGAACCAACAGCCATATTATTACTTGTTTTCCAAAACCAAAATGTGTCATTCCATTCATTTTAATTACATTATTATTCTAACATTGCTGAGCCACAAGAAAAATTTAAAAAAAGCTAACTAGACCTTAGCTTTAAGCTTCTTTTAGAAACTACTTTCTATTGTCAATCAGAACAATCCTCATGTTGGAGTAAGAATTTTGGTATTTTTCTTTAATTAATCATGGTTGATTTATGTTTGTTTTTCCCTATTGAAAAATGCAGATGGTCAAACACATACTTTGGCAGTTAAAGAAACTATTTGGACAAACCCTGATGCAACCTCATTCCTCAAGAGACAAGCAATTTCTTTGCTGAGCTTTGCCTTTATGAAACTGTTCTTAATTATGTGCATGCACATCTTCTCCAAGGACAGCACATAACCAAGTTGCAACATCCACAGACAAGGGAGAGAGGTCCTGAGCAGCAGTTATCCGACGGGAGATCGTGATAAACCATTATTTTGGCATTAGGTGCAAGGTGAGTATTTATTAATGGAGATTAACACTGGGCTTGTTCTCAGAGTAACTGAGCTGCCACATGCCATCGTGTTCAGGAGAGGAAGGGATGCTATGATAGAAGCCTGTGAATTCTCAAGCATGTCAAGAGAAGATAAGAAACTTTCAGGTCATGACAGACTGGTGTTTCCTGCCAAGGAAGTAAAATGCTCAGAGCCAGAGTGATCATGGTGGTAAACAGAATTTAGTTTAAAAAAACCCAAAACAAGCAAACCAACCTGACTTAATCCAAATAAATTAATTGGTTTCTGTACTGAATTGCAGCTGAGCCATCCTAAGCGTCACTGGAACCCAATGAACCCAGACTTCTGTTTTACTTGCAGTTCTATCCTCCCTCCAGTCAAATCAGGCCCACCACAGAAACTTGCTAAGATTAACCAGATCAGATATTTTTTCACTCAGACCCCAGGAAGGCTGCAGGCCAGAATCTCAAAAGATGCCCCATTTCACACAAGTTATTAGATTTTTTTTTGTGTCTTTTTAAAATTTATTTTTGCTTTCTAATGGTATTTAGTTTTTCTATCTTGTAGTGACTGTGAGCATTCCTGACACAACCAGGCTGTATAGGCTCTGACATTTATACTGTCTATTGCCTGGAAGCTAAAGTCAAAACTTCTCTGACACCTTTTTTTTTTTTTTTTTTTTTTTTTAACTTCCAGTTCTTACTATAAACAACTGAAGCGTTACTAGGAACATTATTTACAAGTAGGTTTGGATTTTGCTTGTTTAAAGATGCATAAAGCCAACAATAAGGCCTTATATGGATTTATGTGGATCTTAATACACCATTTCTGCTGGATGGTACCATTAATGACTGAATTGTAAAAGTCAGTAGGATCCTCCCAGGTGTGGCATCCAGTGCAGCTGTTAACAGTCTGGTAATTTTGGAGTCAGGGGTTGGAGGTTACAATACCTCAGACACTATTCCTTTTTCATTACTCTTTTTATGGACATGTACTTTCCCCTTTGTTCATATCAATTTCTTATAAAGTAGGTCTGACAAAATTAACCTATGTCAAGGGGCACTGTGGCCTGTTTCCGCAATCCTCCTGCAGCTCTTTGGGAGGAAAGGTGCCGTAGGAGCTCCATCACAGCTGACATTATTGCACGTTGCTCATACCAGTTCTTCAGTTTTGTGTTCTGTGTTTCTCTCAGCTATGAAATAATTTTATTCCATCCACTTCCTTCTGCCAATTGTCTTGGATTCCAGACA